ATATATATACACTTATACATATATGCATGTATACATATATGAATATATACTTAGGCACATATTTTTATATCACTATTTATATATTGTGGATGATAATTGATAATTTCTCAAAAAGAGCATTTATATCTGCGAGTATACAAATCTACAGCATTTTCATGTAGAAAGTTCTGTGTATTTGGCTAGAGCTTGGACTGTCGAGCATTTATGTTATTGTTGGTGTGATCTTATATGCATTTCAATGTATATCGGAGTGTGTATTCCAAATCTACCCTTCTCATATGACCATGTCACTCCCATGTTCTTGAGTTTCTTTTCATTTAAGGTGTGTGGGTATTATCGCCTATTCAGAACGGCGACGTCTTTGACCATTTTGTCCTGTCCTGTTGCATGAAAAATTGGGACGATATTCACACTCGATGCTATCTTGTGCAGGAGCATGCCTGATGGTAGCCAGCGTGCGTACTACGTGGAAGTAGATTGCGATCCCAGTGATCCAGACGCGTACGAAGTCAATGAACACGGTGTCCCCATTGACCCTAACGTACGTGCACGCCTGGAGAACGAGGACAGACAAACCCAAGCCCAAACCCAAGTCCAAGCCCAGAACATGCAACCACCCGCACCTCAGGGATACCATCCGGCTCAGCAGCAGCTGCAACAGCCTTCGCCGTACCAACAGGCTCCTACCCAGACGTACCAACCACACTATCAGCAACCACAGCAACCGCAGCAGCCCATGCAGTACGGCTATGGAGCGCCACAGTACCCTCAGCACCAGCCCCCCCCACAACAGGCGGCGGCATCGTACCCGTCTATGGGCGCCTATGGACAAGCTCCTCCCCAGGCCATGCCGTACCAGGCACCTGCACCTGCACCTGCACATGCACCTGGCTTTCAGTACCAGCCACAAGGGGTGCAATACGCTCAGCCGCCGCAGCAGCCGCCGCAGCAACCGCTGGGCCAGGCTCAATCATTTCCGAACTTGGGGAACGCGAGTGTGAACCATTCGGCTATGATGCCGCCTAGCTTTGGTTAAGCTATGACGGAGCTGTGTGATTGGGAGTGTACGGGGCAATAGGGGCTATTGCATGTGCTTGGGGGGGGGGTGGGGGTGGAACTATATGGGCCTATTGCATGTGTGACGTGCGCGTGCAGATCAGGAAGCAAGCAGGGTGAACGTGCGGGGCAACTTACGGGTGCTCGTCAATACACCTTAACAGTTAGACAGACCGAGGTTGACGGGAATGTATGTGCTGGGAAAGATCAGAATTAGACCCCACACTGGGGTGGGGGCTAGCGTTGCACGCACTACTAGGCGTACTTTAATTAAGATCAGGGTTGAGCCATGATATATTCTTCACTTGTACTGGCAAGTTCTAGATCATTTAAGCTAGTATATTCATTGGAGCTACGGTATTGGTAGTATTCATTTATTCTACGGTATTGTACTTATTTAAGCTACAGCATAGAGTATTGGTAGTATGGTAGCTAAGGTTCCTCTGATCTTTCCCCTTACTCGTTTCGTCGCGTACAAAAACCCCCCCCCAATAAACTCGACTGCTATTTTTGATACCATCATTTTCGTACGCGGTGTGTGGTTGGATTTTGCGCTCACACATTAGGCCACTATGTTGCGCATGTAGGTAGTATCCTGTTACATGGCATGTAGATGTCCATGACCAGACAGTAGTACAAGGTTTGCGCTCACACGTTAGGCCACTATGTTGCGCATGTAGTTAGTACTCACACGTTAGGCTACTATGTTGCGCATGTAGTTAGTACTCACACGTTAGGCTACTATGTTGCGCATGTAGGAAGTACTCACACGTTAGGCTGCGCATGTAGGTAGTATCCTGTTACATGACATGTAGATGTCCATGACCAAACAGTAGTACTTTCTACCTAGACTGTCACTGTCTTAGCATAACATATTCTTTTTCATACAGACAAGACCATAGTAAAAGAACTTTGAGTGTAAGTGCTCATAGCCATATGCACGTAACTGCCATGTACGCCCTGGTAGTTCATTCCTTATAATATTAATCGTCGGCTTTATTGTGAATATATTTATATTTAATGAGCTGGGAATGGTCAATGCTGCCTATCTGAAAAAGGAGAAATATCTCCCGCTACCACATGATTGGTGAAGAAACCATTTTACCTCGCACAATATATATATATATACATCCTCGAGGGCCGCTAGTTGCGTAGCCCAGGTACGCAAACTGCACTTACTTTGGTAGTGGTATTTTGTATTCTGCTGTGTTGTATGGGGCAAAATGGACTACAACAGTACCAGACACAACTATCTAAATACGTGGAACAGTCGCAGCAATATATGCACAACACGATAGTAAGGCTGTAAGGACGCAAACATACCAGGGGAGTACATGCGAACGTATTGACTGACTAGGCTATGCATGTCCACGGATGCCCCGTGTGTGCTGATACGTATCTAATTTTAATATATCTATCTTAACGCGCCAGAACCCAGGCTATAAATTCCGGGATACATCGGAACCTGTTGCAGTGTACTTCGGAGTGTTCCTACAAATGAATGACTCATACTTATATTGGCCTACCTCTCTAGATCTAGATGTCTACCTACACTCCTACACACGAGTGAAGAGTGGGGGGATCACGGAACGGACTCACGCTGGTGATGATGAAATCACGCACGATCGATTCCGGGGCTTAGCCACGACACTTGTGGCGATATAGGTCGCCCTACAACATCGGTGACACTCATTCCTCTTGTGAGATGCTTTTTCTTGGGTGAAGCAAGCTCATCTCGCACAATCGTACACAACAGCAACGAGACTTGTGGTGATATAGGTCACCCTACAACATCGATGACACTCCTTCCCCTCATGAGATGCTTTGTCTTGCGCGAAGCAAGCTCATCTCGCACCATCGTACACGAGCCACGAGGCTTGTGGTGATATAAGTCGTTCTACAACATCGGTGACGCTCATTCCCCTTATGAGATGCATTGTCTTGGGGGTGAAGCAAACGTGCGTGTTCGTATCCTTGTGTGGGTTACAGTGGGTTACAGATATCATCCACAGGCTAATCTGTCAACTGTATATGCTTGTACACCTGCTACCTATCATTCGGGTACTGTACATACAACCACCACCCCCACTGTACCAATGGGCCATGCGCTCAAACGACATACGTTTAACGCATCTATGAGGTGACATTGGGCGTATGTGCTTGAGGTCGTTGACAGCTAGCACACGCACCGTGCTTCGTCGCCAGTTACACCGTCTTGTACGCGTGAACGTAAGTTAAGCGTACCATACTCCAACGGTGGGCCGGGTACGTCCCGTGGTTCTATATATATATATATACCCCCGCATCTCCATGCCAACTGCGGTCTCAACACACCGAGGAGCCGTACTTTGGCACACCCGCTTATCCCCTATCCTACCTACTACTTACAAACTCACGTGGCTAATATGAATACTGTACTACCATACCTACTACCATACCAGGCCCGGGTCTCGACAGTCGGACCCACAGTCGGTGCAGAGCTTTTTGATCTCTTCATGGTTGTTGGGGCATTGTTTTTGCCTCACATTGACCTCGTGTGCTACCGATGTGTGACTGGCGTCGCAGAAGGGCGGCGTCCTTGTTTGTTTGCAGCCTGCAAGGCAAGTGAATTGCGTGAGGCTACTGATAAGGGTACACCTTCCCGCTACTTCGACCAGCGCCAGCCAGCGATTGATTAAACGTTTAACATATCAATATACTCTCATATATCCCACCTCGATATGCACTCGAACGCGTGCAATCGACTGCAATAAACTGTTACCGATCCACCTACTCGTGTGTGTGTGATTCAAGAAGGGAGGGGGGACGAGGCCTGCACACAAGAAGGTTGCATAACATATACTTCTACATGCAATGCATACATCCCACGCGATAGCGTGCTAGCGGAGAGTGCGTACTTGTAGATTCCCGCTCACACCCCATAGTGTCACACAGGGTACGCACAAGAACACACCACTGCACACACACAGCAGAGAAACCAAAAACACGCAGCACCCGGCAGGAACGACAAATGTAGCGTACAACTCATTGGTTGCAAAAAGCTGTATAGTAACCAGGTACGCACGGGAACATACCACTGCGCACACACAGCAGAGAAACCAAACACATGCGACATCCGACAGGAATACCACATGCAGCATACAACTCATTGGATGCAAAACGCCGTACAGTGAGTGGATCTCTGTGTGCCACACACAACGCGTTGCAAAACACACCATCGAGTATACTTTACCGCAAAAACAGGTGCAGTGACAGAGGTCGGAAAACTCTGAGCGTATCGGAAAACAAAGTGATAACGCCGAGTAACAAAGAGCTAGTGTCAGGGTAACTGTATAGTGACTATCAGGTATGGTACAAGGATACTCGATCGTCCAGAGACTGTGATCTCAAGCAAGTGCATACGCCAACAAACGTGGATGCTTAAAAATACAATTATACTTTCATCTGATTTAGTACACTTTGCTAATTGAACCCCACTCCAGCCGCAGTCTCAAGCAGGCCTATACACCAACAAACACAGATGCTCAGCTGAATACGTACATACATACATACACTGATGTGGTACACAGAAGCGACACCCACACTTGATACATACCACACAAGCTAAACATGGCCTGACTCCTCTGAGCGCCGCACAACTTCAGAGCCTTGCAGCCCACGCTGCTGTCTTTCCTACCCGGCACAGTCCACTCCAACGGTTTGAAACCCGTACCTACATGACTCCAATCACAGAACGGCTGGCTCCGTGATAGACCACACGTACAGTACAACACCTCACTACCAGGCTTTAGGTTCTTGACATTGATGGGACCCCAAACCGCGGGGTGGGGGTGCAGTCGAGTACCATTCATAGCCATCTTCCCATCTCTGGCCCGGCCTGATATCCGGCTGAGCACACTCCCCACAGCCAGACTTTTGCCTGTCAAGCTATTCTTCTCGCATTCAGCCTCGAAATTGGTTTGTACGGCAAGTATGCCTATGACATCTCCACCCGAGTCGTCTGTGTATGAGCGTGAAGCTTCTTTATCACCAAGGCTTGTGCTCGTAGGTACAGCTCGTATAGCATCCAATGTGGAACTAACTTTGCTGGCCCGACTACTAATGCTGCGTGTACTAGCGTTGTCATTGTGATTAACACCCCTCCTGCCTTGAACCTCGGCCACTTTCTCATTAAGATCATCATCAGGAAATGCTTTCAACAGGTGTCCCGATACTGTGAATAAATCATCCACCTTCGGCGTCCGTTTGGAAATTGCTTTACTCACAGCGCCTGGGCTTACTGCCGACGCTGATCCCATGTTCGCGTTCGAGCATGAAGTTTGTGAAATAGTTCCGGCGAGAGTCTTGTTTATAGCACCCGCGGGTTGTTTTTCTTCTGTCGTGCTTGTGCCAGTAGCGGAATTGTGCGGCGACGTTGCGTTCATAGTGGCCCGCAGAAGTACACGTGCTGTGGTGTGCGCTGGAGAAGTATGGACTTGACTTCTATATCAATCGATTCAGAAGTATATACGTATTTGTGTCATAAACAACGTACAATATTGTCAGACAGACGCAAGAATCTTCTCATATCACATTTCCAATCAGCAAGAGTTGCTCAAGTCTGGTGGTCTATAAATAGATAAATAGCGTCGGGTCAAAAATTAATACGTTTACGTTCAACGTAAATATGGCCCTCAAGTTGTCGCTACGGGAAAATAAAAAAACTGTATATATTTAAAAAAATAAAAATAGAAGGCATATGTACCTTCTATTAGAGAGAATCAGACATATAAACATACTTCGTTTCCTTCCTGGTACAATTTGTACCAGGAAGGAAATGAGGTACTCGAAGGAAATGTCCAGAGGTGCTATGAACGGACATATATCATCCCAAAGAGTATAGGAGCAACATACTTTACCAAGAATGTCTGATATATGTGAACGGACCTATATAGTACTCATGTTTGACTAGTTTGACCCAACTCTGGTACAAACTAAATTCTCTGTAACTTTTGAACCAATAGCCCGATCGGGATGAGATTAAGTATGTGTTTATTATTACTCGTCAATACGAACAATTTGATCTATTTAATGATCAATGGGATGTATTTTTTTAATATACATCTGGGTCAACCTCCATAGTAAAATCTCCGCCGGTCTTGAGGTTTATATGTGAATTGATTTTCTCTAATTTATTTAAAATTTTGTTTTTAGTAAAAAAGAGAAACCCAAAGTCTCGGGCAAGCCGACTGGAACTTTAGAAATAAATCGAGCGCAAGCCAAAAGAATGGCTAAAAAAGTCCCACGGCACTGAAGTGACATCTAAACGTGAACAACTGAAAAAAAAACAGCTATTTTTCATACTGTACATAGCCTTCTTTTCTATATAAAAAATATACAAGTCTTCGGAGTCTTCGCACAGCCTAATAGTAGCGGTGAACATCAAAAATTGGCTTTAGGAGACCGGAGATTTTTACTATAGAGGTTGACCCAGAGGTACCTTAAAGAGTCAATATGATTGGAAGTTAGACGACTCCAATTTTTCGTATTGACAAGTAATAAACGTTAATCTCATATTAAAGTAGTATGCTATAATGCCAGAAAGGTCTGATAGGTATGGATGGACTTATATAACGCGTACGCGTGGCTAGATTGACCCAGTTCTGGTACAGAATGGAATACTTTATAGCTTTTGAACCAATAGTCCGATCGGGATGAGATTAACGTTTATTACTTGTCAATACGAAGAATTGGGGTCATCTAACTTCCAATTAGATTGACTTTTTAAGGTGCCTCTGGGTCAACCTCTATATTAAAAATCTCCAGACTCCTAAAGCCAATTTTTGAGGTTCACCGCTCCTATTGTTCTATTTTATTTATATAAAAAAAGGTTATGGTTATATTTATCTGTCATCTCAAGTTCTCCACTGAATGATATGAAGCTTACAAGTTCACGTTGTTCGTCGTCGCTCGATCCGACGATCGGTCGATCATCCTTTTCTACTTTGAGCTTTGAGCCGTACAAACGTTTTTACAGTATATCAATCGAATACTAATAAAGCGGTTACGTTCAACTTCTATTTGTTTGGGGGGTGTATAAAATAAATTGACGTTGCATGCTTCTATTCGTAATATGTAAACACGTACTGCGTTTTTATACGCTATAACTTATAAAGGTGGGTCTGATGTTGTGACTGCCCAGTGCCCAGTGCCCACCCATATTTGGCATAGCCCGCCAACTATAATTTGCCAAAAGATGGTTGGTTTCATTTTTAGTTCGATTTCTTCCTTTCGTAGCATAACACTATTAATTCGCCTATTTAGGAAATTTCCGTTCGGATATGATATTCGGAAAGGTCAAATATGTATATTTAGTCCTTTTGGCTCAGCACAACGCCCTCAATCAATTTCTGGACTTTTTTGAAAAAATATGTAGCTTGCATTTACGTAGAATTTCATGATTTTGACTCATGAAAACTGGTTCATACCCATTGGCTGTTCGCGATAACATAATTGATAAGAAAACACATGCTCGACAGAGACTCTAGAGAGGACTCAGAGGAGGGACTCACAGAGACAGAACACACACGCTCATTATATGCTAGCAGTATATGTTACATAGTCATTTACCAGTGCGACTAGCTGAAATTATTGTACGATGGTGTATTAGACGAAGATATCGATTGTTAATGCACCTCCCTATGACTGAAAGTGGTATAAACGTGTGTACGTGTAGTTTACCGTGTGCTTTTTACACGTGAGTCAAAAAGGTGCAGGGGACACAGTCAGAAATTACCCAAACGCACATGGCCCTCACAACCAATAAAAATTGCTAGTAACTTTGGAAAAGCACCTTTCCAAAGTACGGACATATTTTTCCGATTCCCGTATTTCCGAACGAACTGCCGACTTTTCTAGGGGTACACTTGCCCTCGAAAGTCTGTCCTCGTTCGGCACTACTTTATTCTCGAAATTTTCTTGAAATGTTAAAATCCTCTTCTACCCATTGGCTGAGGAATAAGAATTTCATATCCGAACGCAAAATCCGAACCCGTTAAGACACGGCCTTACTATAATTCCAAACAAAATTATTTTTTGGAATTGTCTTCTATTGTACAATGTACCTGAAAACGGGAAATGGTTTCGAACTAAGCGTTAACGTAACATGTAATACGTTTTCAGCATATGTAAAACACGTACTTAAATATGTAAATAAAAATAAATACCACCATTGACCCTCTCATGTAGTAGAGAGAGAAAATATAAATAAATACCACAACCACCACAACCATATTGATTTACTTTTAGAATTGAACACTAATAAATCAAACAAAAAGTCAAAGGCCATTCGTCTAATACTAAAATCCCCACCTCAATACTGTATTTGGTGAAAAATGCATAAATAGCCTTCTGATTTCAGACGGCTATGAAAAAAAAACAAAGTTGCTTGACCCCAGTTTTAAAAAATATGTATTTTTTTTTTTAGACGGCTATGAATATTTACATAAAAAGTGAACGTTATTGAAGGACGTTTGTATAAAGGCGAACCGCATAAATAGTAGAACTAGTAGCTGGTTCGCGATCGCCCGAGCGAAAATTCGATATTTCAATGTAGATGCAAATTTTACAATACAGTGTTTGCTCATATATACAGTATAGTATTCTTTGATCAACTAAGTCTCCAATGCTATGATATTTACATGCGCTAAACCTTACCATCAGGTTTCCAGCTTTTCCGCTAGAATTGAGATTGTTGTATTTATCGCTGACAGAAAGTCGTTTGTCGTCACGGCAAGAAAACGCTGACCACGTTTTCGCGATGGCAGCTTGTGTATTTTATAATACATGAATATATACATTCTACGGGTTATTGTCGAGCCATTTCTGATATCCAAACTTCTACTTCTTACGCACCAACCACGTGGAGGACTGACTGAACTTGGAAACGAGCTTTTGGTTATAGTATACTTGGAAATTGTAAATGCAACGTTGAAATGAGCTCTCTTATAAGTTATTATGACAGAGCAGCTAAAAAAAAGTACTATATTGAACACGTTTACTCTTCGCGAAAACGATTGATCATTTTCGGATTTTCCTCGGTACAATTATTTGATAATATATATATGGGAACACAATCTCACATAATGAACCTCGCTTCTGGGTTGCCTATTACTATAAAGGAGATATAAATATCATACTGCTGTTTACTTAAATAGCTGTATCTGCAGATGGGTTACATATAGCCATAACCGCACTTGTACATAGCCTTCTAAACAAACAACAAATATCACAGCAATTTGCTCAATAAATACGATCAGTGGAGCACGTGTTTGTATTTATCGAAAGATCAAATCAGGAAATTGTAACCATGGCCTGGTCCAATCAAATTAGCTCGAGTATTTTCGCACTAGGGTACTATTTACGTACAGTTGAGAGTCGGAAATGAACGTCCTTCAAGAAAAAAAGTTTAAAAAACGCGACTATGTACTGTACTGTAGCATGCACATATATCACGGGAGGACCCAAAAAACACGACTATGCAGTATGCACTGTGTAGCGTGCACAACTATCTCGGGAGAACGGACTATTGCGCTCAGCTGTAGTGATGCTGAATTTAATGATAGCCACAGTGTTGTTGGCGTATACATGTGGCACACTAGCGATAGCAGCCTCGAAGGGTAAGGCAGAGACGCGTCGTATTGTCGGAGGATATCAGTACGAAGGTAAGTCGGATAGTTTATACTGCTGTAGAGGCGTAGCATCAATATCAAGCTGCGTGTGAGCATCTCTACAGTACAACGCATTTGTAATATTTGGGCATCGATCAGCTTATAAATACGAAAAGCATTCTGATGCGCCGAGAGAGTGTCAGTTACAATACTCATTCAATCACAGATAGGACCTGGCATATACATAAGCTACGTTGATTCGCATACATTGTAGGGATAGATGATAAATGCCAATGAATATGATAAAAGAAGACCAAATACGTGATAATAGTATCAACATAAAATGTATACAAGGTCAACATACTTCTTTCTCACGACAAAACTATTCATAATACTTTAAAGTGAACAAAAAATATCGGCTAAGGTGAATAATACACACACACACACCCACACACCAACCCACCCACAAACACACACACACACATA